GGCAGGTTGAGTTGTGGGCGGTCGGCTGGGGGCCGGGGGGCAGGCCCCGGATTCATGAACTGGTCTGGGGAGTACATCCTGCGGGCGCGTCAGCAGCGCCCGGAATTGATCACAGGCGAGAACCTGTGAGTGAATCGGGGCTGAAGGGCCAAAGGGGTGGATGGATAGGTGGGAAAGAGGGGGACAACGAAATGAAGTCTGGCTCACTTTTCATAAGAGGCCATTAAGCTGGGCCGGAGTGGAAACCGAGACGCGGGACTCCCAAGGAGGGGAAGGGGGGTTCCTCAGGGGGGGGGATGAGGTATGAGGGGGGGCAACCGTGAAATCCACGGAGCAAACAATGTGAAGGGGAGGGCGGTCCCGACAACACACCCAGATTAATCTCCAGGTGCAGTTCACTGCAGGCCCGTCAGCATGAGAACTGTGGCATGTGCAAGGCTGGGTCTGTCAATCTGGTGACCCGTGGATGCGGTAGAGCCTCTTCTTCCCCAAGGGAACTATATTCCACCACCTACTCCATAGGCGGCGGGATGATAGAGGTGGAACAAGGAGAGTGACCAGAGCTAATTGAACATCTAAACATACCTTGAGGGGTAACTGTAGGCTTATCTTAACGCAGAAAAGAAGCCTCGCGCCCGCGAGGAAGCTTCGAGCGTGAACTGCACGTCTCGAAGGTGACAACCCCAATATCCAGACGCGGTGAGACCAGCGGTTACCAACCAAGGCGGCCAAGTACACAATGCAGGAGAGACGCAGGCGATGGCAGAGGGAAGTACCCGAGGTGTGCTGGGGTTCAGATGAAAAGGAGGTGGCGGGTGTGCAAACAATAAACGAGAGTCACGATACAACCACGGGGAGTAACGAGAAGACAGAGATGATGAGGAGGAAAGAGGATGAAAGACGTGAAGAGGGGGGGAAGAGGATAAGGAAGAGGGAGAGAGAGGGTGTGAAGAGGGAGGGAGTAAGTAGGAAGTTAGAAGGAGCACCAACAGGAGGCGGCAAAAAGGGAAGGCCGGCCGTTGAGTTGAACAAAAGGCACTCGAGGTTTCACCACCCGCGGCTCCAAGGGGCGCACGGCTCTAACTCTCCTCAAGAATATTATTATTATTTCTCTGGAGGGATGGTGATGGGCTTCTCCTTCAACCCTGTGAAGCAGATCACTTAAAAAAACCCGGGAAGATAGAATGAAGTTGGGGGGGAGGAGGGGAGAGGAGGAAAAGCAAAGAACAAGACAAGGAAGCAGAGGAATTGACTACTTTACAAAGTAACCCAGCAAAGATAAACTAATTGACAATCGCTATTTTGGTAGAAGTAAATACTGTCTTCGGCCCCCCCTGGGATACACTACTTCAAATATTCCTGTTGGTTGACCACAAATAGAGTAGGAGAGGGTCACCAAACAACGATCGATGGGTCCTTGACTTTGATCATAATGGATTGTCGTGGGCATGTCTTGGGAGGTTTCATATACAAAGCTAAATCCGAAGCAGCAAACAGCAAACAGCCAGGGCTCTTCTCTCCCCTGATTGTGATGATGCACAATTAACCTCTCCATCCTAGTAAAAAGAAGCGCCCTTACGCATTTCACTGCGAGTGCAACTCCGAGAAGCGATTAATCAAGTAGTAGTTCCTATCCAATGGAATGGATGGTCATCATAGTACTATGAAGTCTAGCCCTAGAAAGAGTCCAATTGGGCGATGAATGGTAGTTTCAATGACCCCCCTCAGGCAATGAGGAGTATGCATCCTTACTGTCGCAATCCCTATATATTGATTGATTGATGGTCACTTCCTTGATTGTCCTTTTAAATCACTAACTACTATGCCTATGCATGCGTCAAATCGGAGATAGAAACTTGGCCAACGGGACCCAGATTAAGGGGAGCCAGAAAAAGCGTACGCCAGAGCCCACTCCACTTGGATTGCAGTTGCTTGTCGGTTCGAATCAGATTGATTAATGGCCAGGACCAAATTACATCATCCGCGCGGATGGCCCCGACAAGCCATGCTAATCGTTAAATTCTCCTAGTCTTTGAAGCTATTCAGGGCTCCTCAGCGTCTCCTTGCGGTCCCAAATCAAATTCAAATGGGTAAGCATGAAATCTTAATCCTAATCCTCACCCAACAAAGCCACACACGGGCAGCCAGCCTACTAGCTGGCCAAACAGACCACATACCCTGCATATGGAATCCTGGTCAAGTAACAGCCACCAGTGAGGATAGAGAGACCGAGGGACCCACGGGTCGGTGGTCTCGAGTCTCCAACAGCGAGAAAGAAGACGGAGAGAGAGCGAGTGAAAGAGAGGGTCGCAAAGAAAGGGAGGCCCACCAGCGGCCCTGATTTCCCGCCCCTTTTTTCAGGTCAAGCCCAACTGCACTGGAATTGATTGGATCAGACCAGCAGCTCGCTTCAGCAACAGTCCATGTCAATTGTGGTGCTGCTGCATGTGCAGATGGAACTAAGGCTTCTTTCATGCATCACCTCGTTTACTAAAAAGGCATTGTGGAATAATTGTCTATTCATACAGATTTTTGTCATTAACTATGATACATGCTTAACTCCTAACCCTCCTCTTCCAGGCCACACATACACTTCGCTAGTTTGTACAAGCATATGTGGTGTGTAGTCAATCATAGTGAGCGCTTGAATCAGCGTTCCTCACCAAATGGATGGTTAAATTTCAGCAACCCATTCAAGCCCCCAACCCATCCATCGTGTGCTTCCCCACCGGTGATTCTTCGCATAACACATGGCACGCCTCCTTGCCATTCATTCTTGCCATGTCGCATCTCTTCGTCCCATACTCGTGCCTCCATTCCCGCGGTCAACCCTTGCCCTAAGTTCACCCCGTCAATGCTGACCTCCAACTCGCGACTCCGGTTCTTCTCGCTCAGTCGGAGGGTAATCGGAGTACTGGATGGCAGCACCAAGGGCCGGAAGCTTAGACTCCGCGCACAGATCGGTGTTAGTAGAACCGCGGGCACAAGTGGATGCACAATACTGCCTCCACTGCTCAGACTGTATGCTGTGCTACCCGTCGGTGTCGAGATAATGATTCCGTCGGCCACGGCTTCCGTCAGAAACCGGCCCCCAACATAGACATCCAGCACCGCCAAATGTGGCTCTTTGCCTCGATGCAAGAGCACCTCGTTCATTACGTATACTCCCTGGTTGTTCAAGTCGTTTGGCATGGCCGCTGATGTGGATTCCCGTTGGACTGGCTTGCCGTCTGCCGTAAAGAGCCCAACCTTCAGTCGGTTGCGCATCAAGATTCGGGCGCCGCGCGTTAAGCCCATCGACTTCCCCCGTACCGAGGACCATCCAGTAGGATTCGCTTCCAGATCCAGTGCTTCGTCGGCTGAGGCCGGCCGGGAGTCTCCCAGCACTGTCGCGCGATCCCCAACACCGGCTCCTGACATGTATACCTCACGGAATGCGCGCTTGTATTCGGCAAACTTCCATTCGCTCAAGAAGCCTAATGTTCCCATGCTAAATGACAGCACCGGCGGGACGTTGTAGCACGTGGCAAACAAGGACGAGGCATGCAGGATCGTACCATCTCCCCCGAGAGTAACGGTGAGATCCACCTTATCGTGCAATGCCGGTCGTAGTTGGTCGAGAGGGGCGGTGTAAACAGGCGACTGAAGTGACGAGTGTATTTCCTCTGCGACACTGGGTTCTAGAATGATCGAGGCCGATGGGTAGGTAGATGTCGCATGACTGCATTGCCGGTGAGGGGTTAGCATCCATGACTTCTCGGTCAGCCGATTTTGGGACTCCGTACCTAGCAAATTCAATTAGAGAGGCAGTGATGGCCGGAGAATAGTCTTTCTTCACGACGAAGATATTCCGCGGGGGGGCTGGCCATTGGAGGGAAAGGAGATCGCCCTCTTGGGATTCTGCTCGGGGCGCACAAGCAGGTCAGCATACCAGGAAGAGCTTAAAGATATTTCGCAGACGACACTGCGTTGACGCACACCTTGGTATTTTGGTATCAATCGTTTCGGTAGAGTTGCAACATCTCTAATCTCGTAACGTCGTGAGGAGGATGAAAAGTTCCGTGACCAAAGCATCCGAACCGGAGGCCCGACATGAGCAAGCCGTGGTCGCATACTCGCAAAATACATTTTTAGTAGCTGATGAGATCGAAAAAGACCATGCACGCTCTTCTAGAAGAATGATATCAGCTCACTTCGAGACTTGTTTCTAAGATATGACTAGAGCGCTCACATTATCAATCTAGGTCTGATTCATTGTTCCAAAGCAGCATATGAGAGAAAGTTGCGCGGGACCCGACATGCAGGTTTAGTTGGGAGGTGTAGACATCTGCATCTATATTCTCCCAATTTCTGTAAGATTCTTCTGGTCCATAAAACAGAAACATATATAGGAAGGAAATGAGAATCATGCACAGTGGAGAAATTTCATCTATCTCCGAAGTGTCGAAAAGAGTCCTGCAAGCGTGATGCCGATCGAGACCCCCCGGATCTCCGCTGACCGCCTTGAGGGGAGGGCCGGGCCAACTGACGTAGTGGTTTTTGACTGGAGATCATTGATCATGCGCCCACACACTATTGAGACACTTGAGAGCTGTGCTCCGGCTCAAGCTTCCTGCTCCCTCGAGACAGGAACCAAACTTCTCTCCCGTCTCTCTCTCTTTTTCTCTTTCAAGTATTCTTCCCCCCAAAACATGGCTTGAATCTACTTCATTTTTACATCCCCCTCATTATCATTACCTCCTCGGTACAGGTACAGCTTCCGTTAGTTAGTCCCTTTGTCCTCCGATCCCTCTTGATCTTACAACAAACACTGCTGGCCTTCCGGCAGACACCGCTTTTCCTGGTACAGTGTGCTGCATCTGGTTGCTCGCGTGATTCAAGGGTGGGAAAGCTAATCAGTGCCCGATCCAGTTCCATTATCTCTAGAACTTTATCCTCCCTTATATAGTTGGCCTGCAAGTCCTTTCGTAACGCCTCGTCGCCAACAACTGATTCTCATCATGGATACCTCCGAGGTTCGACAACGAAAGCATGACCCTCAACTGAATCACACAGCCGCTCCGAAGAAGCAGCCTTCCGACGGTCAAGATGAGGAACCCCGTTTGAAGCATGGCATTGCGATGCAGCTTCTCCGCTCTTTGCTCCTGGCCACATGGTTCAACTGCTGCTGCGTTGCCATCCTAGCGACCCAGGTCATCGGCTCCCCTCTATACGTGATAAACAAGGATTGGTATTATTCCTATATGGCATACACAAAGCAGTCCTTTGGCTTGGTCATCACGGCTCTCACTCAATGGGGCTGTCCTACCTTTGTGCGAGTCAGCGGTGACAAGAGTGTACGGGGTCAGGTCCACGTCGCAGAGGATGGGCGCTTAAAGACCCAATTCCCAGAGCGATTGGTCCTCATAGCCAATCACCAGGTGTATACTGATTGGATCTATCTGTGGTGGGTGGCATACACGAATACGATGCACGGCCGCATCTTCATCATCCTTAAGGAATCCTTGAAGTACATTCCTATTATCGGCCAGGGTATGACCTTTTACGGCTTTATTTTCATGGCTCGCAAATGGTTGTCCGACAAGCCCCGTCTGCAACATCGATTGGAGAAGCTGAAGACTCAGCATACGGGATCGCAGTCAGGGTCCCCGCAATATGACCCCATGTGGCTTCTGATCTTTCCTGAGGGGACGAACCTATCCATCAACACCAGGCGGCGGAGTGCAGAGTATGCCGCAAAGCAGGGACTCTCCCCGTTGAAGCATGAGCTGATTCCCCGTTCCACTGGTTTATTTTTCTGTCTACAGCAGCTGCGCGGGACAGTGGAGTGGGTCTATGACTGCACCGTAGCCTACGAAGGACCTCCGTAAGTACTCGATGCGCTTGCTTGCAAGCGAATGAGCATTCCACTAACTACTTTCCTCAACAGAAAGGGTAATCTACCTGACAAGTACTTTACCCTTCGGTCGACGTATCTGCAGGGGCGACCGCCCACTTCGGTCAATATGCATTGGAGACGTTTTGCCGTGTCCGAGATCCCTCTGGATGACCAGCAAGAGTTTGACTCGTGGCTCCGCGAGCGTTGGACCGAGAAGGATCAGTTGCTTGAGGAGTACTACGAGACAGGGAGGTTCCCGTCCGAGCTGGCTGGGTCTATCGAGGTTGGGCATGGATTCGAGGACCGGAAGACTGCCGCGGCTGCAGGGTATGCTGAGGCACATGTGCGGTTGGGACACTGGGCCGAGGTTGGCCGGATATTCATGGTGCTTCTAGGCGCGGTGTTCCTCTGTAAATTGCCCAAGCTCCTGGGATTCTAATGTGGGAACGCCTTCTTGGCCGTGGATCGATGTTGCCGTTATGTGCTATGACCGACACTCTAACCAACCCGTTGCATGACATGAGCAGATGCGCTTAGAGTATTATTATGACTATTTTTCAGTTACTGGCGTGATGGGTCTCACTTGGATAGATGCCTCTCTCCTCCACTATATTGCTTTGGACGTGGACTTGGGGCAGTTTTTGATTTCTTCTTCTACGATATCGATATAGCTTTCTAGTGTAATCCATATATAGCACCGAGCAGGTGCATTACGTGAAACACTAATTATTGACAAAATTTCAATACAGCGTATGATGGCCTCTGCATACCATCTATAGCTATAATATTAATTTCTCCACCATATTATAATGATTTGAATACATCATTCAAATAACTTGGCACTGTGTAAACACAAACATACGGAGAGTGCCAGTGAGTGAATGACAAGCCACAGCTGGCGGGCGGTGGCGGTGTAAACTCGGCCCGGCCAGCCTCTCTCTCTGTCTCTCATGCCAAACCTCCGGAGCGCTACAGAAAGCATCGATCTCAATCTGCTGCAACCACAGGCTTTGTCCTCTGACTGCCACAGTTTCAGGAGCGCGCTTCTTGCTAGTCATCCGGCAAGAAGACACTTCTTTCAACCGCGTCTTTTTACCCCCCCGCTCTAGTTTGGCTTCATCCCGATCATGAGTTGAGCTGAACTACGAGCCAAGCTCCTTTCACCTCTCCGAAACAGTCGCAATCCTTCCCATTGCCCCATCTACAACACAACACATTGCTCAAAGCAGTGCCCGCACACGCCATGGCGTCCCTTCAGAATGGCCACGCCAATGGCACGAATGGCGATTCTCTTTCAGCGGCCAACCCGTTGCCCAATCTCCGTTTTTCTGACATTCCCTCCGCCATCGACATTCCCGCGTCCACCCTCGACAGTGAAGTCGAGGTCAGCCTAGAGATTCTTCCAGATGACCCAACCGAACTCTGTACATTGTTGGAGAACGAAAAGGCCGCTAAGAACTTCTGGGTCACGATCGCGCTGGCATACGCCAAGCAGAAGCAACTCGATCATGCCATCGACATCTTAAACAAAGGTCTCGCGTCGGTCGCTCATGGAGCCACGAAAGAGAAACTCGGCCTGCTGGGATGGGTTTGCTGGCTGTTGATGTTGAAGAGCCGGAATGCCCCCCGCGTTGCACCCGAGGGAGAATTGTACACCGAGGCGAAGACGAAGGATCATTATCTCCAACTTGCTACGTCGACTCTGAACGAGGCTTCACGACTGAATCCGGCGTTCCCCCCTCTGTTCCTGGCGCGAGGTGTCCTGTCGCTGCTACGCGCCTCGCTACATCCACCCCGTCCTGTTCGTCCGGGCACCGTTGACACATCCGAGAGGGTAGAATCGCTGCGGCAGGCGCTCAAGTGCTTCGATGAGTCGTCCAAGGCTTTTGGTGGTCGGAATGTCATGGCCATCCTTGGGCGCGCGAGAACGCAATACTTGCTCGGCCGATACGCCGAGGCCCTGGAAGGCTACCAGAAGGTTCTGATGAAGATGCCCAGTTTGACAGATCCCGACCCGCGGATTGGTATCGGCAGTTGCTTGTGGCAGTTGGGCTTCAAAGAGCAGGCCAAGGTTGCTTGGGAGCGAGCTCTGGCGTTGGTGGGTTTTACACGGATTCTACTCGTACCAGTTCCTTGTTTACTAACCGCTTGACTTTTTGTTGCCAAACAGAACCCTGACTCCAAGGTCGCCAATATTCTCCTCGCAGTATACTATCTCTACGACAGTTCACGACATGCAACGACAGACCCGGCCTTCGGTTCATTGTACAAGGTAGCAATGACTCAGTACACGCAGAAGGCGTTCAAATTGGACAAGGAATACCCCATGACTTGTTCTCTGTTTGGCGGGTACTTCCTCCTCCGGAAGGCTTACTCCACCGTCGAGACCCTGGCCCGTAAGGCCATCGAACACACCGATGTCATGCAGATTGCCAGCGATGGCTGGTATCTCCTTGGTCGGAAGTCCCACTATGAAGGCGACCTGACGCGCGCTGCGGAGTATTACAACCGCTCCGACCAGGCTCGTGGCGGTGGTGAGAAGGGATACCTCCCGGCCAAGTTCGGCACGGTACAGATGCAAGTGTCTAACAAGGACTTTGACGGAGCCAAGTTCCGCCTCGAAAAGATCATTCAGCAGACGAAGAATGCCGAATGCATGGTTCTGCTCGGCGCGCTCCATGCGGAGGAGGTCTTCGCTGCGCAGAGAAGCGGCAGCAAGGAAGACAAGTCGGCTGAGATCAAGAAGGCCATCAACCTTCTGGAATCGGTTCGCGCCCTCTGGAAGGACGAGACCAAGAAGATCTCGCCCGACGAATCCGTCTTGGTGTACCTGGCCCGGCTGTACGAGCAGAGCGCTCCCGAGAAGAGCATGCAGTGTCTCACCCAGCTGGAGGAGATGCAGCTCGCAGAGGTCGCAGAGGAGGAGCGCCCCGAAGGCGTCGAAGATGAAGAGCAGGTCAAGGCAGCTCTCCGCGTCCACCTTCCCCCGCAACTCCTTAACAACATGGGATGCTTCCTATATCAAGCTGAGAAGATCGAACGGGCCCGGACCATGTTCCAAGCAGCGCTGGATGCCTGCGTCCGATCCAAGGAGAAGGAAAGCGAGCTTGACACCGACGCGCTCGTCACCACCATCAGCTTCAACCTGGGCCGGACCTATGAGGCGGCCGACATGCCGGAAGAAGCCAAGAAGGTGTACCAGGGTCTCCTGGAACGTCACGCTGACTACACCGAAGCCAATGCACGCTTGACTTACATCGCCCTGCGCCAGAGCCCCACAGACGAGGGCCCGAAGAAGATGGCCAAGCTCTACGAAGCTGACTCGACCAACCTGGAAGTGCGCGCCCTGTTCGGCTGGTACCTCAGCAAGTCCAAGAAGCGGGCAGCCAACCTGGCCGAGGACCACGAACAGCGCCATTACAAACACACCCTGCAATACTACGACAAGCACGACCGGTACTCCCTGACGGGCATGGGTAACATCCACCTGTCCACAGCGCGCGACATGCGCCGCGACAGCGACCAGGACAAAGAAAAGCGGCGCAAGATGTATGAGCGAGCCGTCGAGTTCTTCGACAAGGCCCTCCAACTGGACCCTCGCAACGCATACGCCGCCCAAGGTATCGCCATCGCCCTTGTCGATGATAAAAAGGACCACGCCTCCGCCGTGCACATCTTCTCCAAGATCCGTGACACATTACGCGACGCCAGCGTCTACCTCAACCTCGGCCACGTCTACGCCGAGCTCCGCCAATACACCCGATCGATCGAGCACTACGAAGCCGCACTATCCAAAGACCGCGCCCGCGACGCACAAATCCTCGCCTGCCTCGGCCGCGTCTGGCTTGCCAAGGGCAAGCAAGAGATGAACCTGCAGGCCATGAAAACCGCCCTCGACTACGCGCAGCGCGCCCACTCCGTCGCCCCGGGCCAAGTCCACCTCGAATTCAACGTCGCCTTCGTCCAGAACCAAATCGCCTCCCTCACCTACGGCCTCCCGGAAACGCAAAAGACGGTCCAAGATGTCCAAGACGCCGCTGAAGGCCTCCAACAAGCCGTGGAGACCTTCAACCGCGTAGCTCAAGCCAAGAACCCACCGTACCCATCCAGCGCCTTGGAACAGCGCGCCAACATGGGCCGCACCATCCTGAAGCAACTCGAGCGCGCGCTCCAAAGCCAAAAGGAATACGAAGAGAAGAACGCCGCGAAACTGCAACAAGCGCGCGAGGCGCGTGAAGCCGAAAAGCGCCAGCGCGAAGAAGAAGTGCGCAAGGCGCAGGAAGCAGAGCGCGAGCGCAAACAGCGCGTAGCGGAGGAGCGGCAGCGCATGATCGAGGAAGCGCAGCGATTGGCGGAGCAGCGCGCGGAAGAAGAGCGTGCGCGTGAAGAAGCGGAACTTACCACTGAGTCGGAGACGGGTGCTAAGGTTAAGCGCAAGAAGAGGACGACGTCTACTAAGCGCAAGAAGAAGCGCAATGAGGACGATTTCATCAACGATGGAGGCGATTCTCCTTCCAGGGAGAGGAGCTCGGAACCGGACTCCGATGGCGAAGCGGCGGCGGCGCCGAAGAAGCGCCGGCGTCTGGAACGTCGGTCTGGTAGTAAGGCGCAGCAGAGCAAGTACAAGAGTAGTGAGATGGTGGTGGATTCGGATGACGAGGAGGAGGGCGGGGATGAGGATCAGGCGATGCGTGATACTGGGGCGAATGATGACGAGGAAGAAGAAGAGCAGGATGTGGTGCAGCGTCGTCGGGCCAAGGTCAGTCGACGAGTGGCTGATGATGATGAAGATGAGGATGAGGATGAGGATAATGGGGCGGCGGTGGCTGGAGGAGGGGGCGAAGGGGCCACAACTGGGGGCGATGGGGGCGAAGACGATGATGATGGATTGTTCAATGACGATGGCGGTGATGATGATATGGATCTGAAGGAGGATGAGTGAATAAGTGAGTGAGTGATCTAGACCTTACTTACCTACTACCTCTTTAGGAGCTTGTTGTTGGGTGGGGGAGGAGAGCAGAGCAGAGCAGAAAGGAACATGTAGTTTTACGGATGGTTGTGCCTTGCTTGTTATCTTTCTCTATATTGTTTTTCATTTTTTTGTCCCCCTTTGATTCCAACTTTCCATTCATGTATTTGAAAAGATGGCGTTGGGATTGGATGTTCGATACTTCAGATATTATTACTACTGCTACTACTTACTTATATCGATACTTACTACGGTGGGCGGGGCAGGAATTGTCTATACTATGATCGAAGCATGAAATGAGCCATTGATGCTGTTATGGATGTGCTGTGTAGTAAGTAGTATTTAGTACATGGCTCTCATTGTAGAGCCTTTTTGACCCTTTCCAAGTACTAAGCATGTCGTATAGCAAGTATATATGCTGTTAGATGTGCAATAAGTCAAATTGAATATGAAATGTGTACAACACGTGTTCTACCTGTATAGTAGTAGTATAATTGGTATCCCTACATTATATTACTAGATAACAAGTAAGGTAACATCATATATATAGTCGACCTATGTATAGAGAGTATAGAAATAGAAGTAGATATAGATAGAAGCTAAATACCAACCCATACAATAAATACACGCATACGGGATACGATACGCATCAACAAACAATCAAGGAAACCAACCCCCGATTCCCTCCCCCCCATCCATCATCCCATTCAAGTCATAAATTGGTTTAGTTTTAGTACTGACTCAGTACAAAACTAAAACAGTAGACTTAAGTAGAAAACTAAACTAAAACTAAACTAAACTAGACCAGCACCACGACCCCCACCACCCACAGTAACAGCGAAAGGAAAAAGGGCTGGGCTATTACCTATGGTCTCTAGTCTCGAGTCTAGACACCAGGGATCGTCAGGAGTCCTTCGAACGATGGAGAAAGAAGTTGGGGGCAAGGGAAGGGAGGGAGGGGGGAAGTGGGTGGGTTGGGTTGGATGGTGCTACACGCTAGGGGAGGATAGGTGTAACTTGGAAAAGAAAGGGATGGACATAGTGGTGGTTAATAAGGTTGGATCTGAGACAGTGGTGTGGTAGTAGTAAGTAGTTGGGAGGCTGGGTGTGGTGTTACTTCTTGCCTGCCTGCCTGCCTTTTGGGGCTGAAGCGAGATGTGTGAAGTTAGTTGTTTTGTTTGAGGATTTGAGATGTGGATGGGGGCTAGTTTGGGGGGAGAGATGTGTGTGTGTGTGAGGGAAATTGTTGGTTCGGTGGTGGGATTTTTCTTTGTAGTGATGGTTGTGCGTGTGTGTATGTCTGAGAGGGGTTTTTTTCCCCTTCGGTCAGTCTCTTTCTCTTTCTTTCTTTCTTCCTTGCTCCGTCTCTTTCTCCGACCCTCTTTCTCTCTCTGTGTGTGTGTGGCTTCTCTTATCTGCAATATATTATCTCTCAATGGGGCTCTCCATTATGGCCTTACTGTGGGTATCTGCACAAAGATGGAGGAGGATAAGTATAGTACCTATACTTGTATGGTATGGTATGGGCGGTGCGACTGGTGGGTATCCGTATCTGTTTCGGTATCTCCAATACCTGTTTGGAGAAGGGTATTTAAGTAAAATATACGTAAGGAGAGGGAAAAAAGACCCTCGGTGGATCAGCTGACGAGCCTCAGCTGCACCGGAAGAACTGCTTCTTACGTCGGGATTATTCATTATTATTAGTAGCCATTGATGGCTGGAAGCAGGCGGATGCCTACCGATTCTCATGCAGTGTTCCTGTCCACAGCTGCCCCAGTCATTGGAGTGAGTGAATTCCATATTGGACACGTCTTCCCTGCTGGCTGGGACGATTCTCCCACGAGCAGGATGCACATCCAGACCGCCGGTCCATGTAAGAAAAGAAAAAGAAAAGAAAAAAGCAAGAAACGTGAAGGGGGAAACGTGACGGGCTGCACGAGAGATGCAGGTACATGTAAGAGGCGCATAAGCAAGTTCTGGGTTAGTCAAGATGAGAACATATTAGCGGTGTGTTCGCACTCAATCTGAGAACTGAGATCTGGGATGACTCAATCGAGTAACCCATCTGAATCTGAATCCTTTCCCCTCTCCTCCCTCTTTTCTTCCCCTCCTTCTCATCCTGCAATGGTTCCTTTTCACCTCCAGATTCCGAGGTCCACCCCGTAGAGTCCGTAGTCTCCGGTACTAAGGATAACCGACCATGGGGAAAGTAGCAATTGACAGCTGATATGACGTTTCCAATTGACTTTCAACGGACGCTGGAAAAGTATCCATCCATTCAACGTCTTTTTGTCGGTTGGAGACGGCCGAAGCACATGTGGAAATTCTGTCATCTCGGGCCCGAGGCAAGACCCATTGGAGACGGAGACCGATTGAACAATTAATCAATCATGACACTTGCTGGGAAGCAACGCGTCCCCAGTACTCAGTACTACTATTTACTTTGCAGGTGGCTCGCGTGGTAATTTTCCCTGGTGTCCCTCGGTACCTAAGACTGAACCGCACGCGGTGGAACAGAGAGGAGCACTACTGTTAATTGTCCATATCCTCACTGGGTCTCGCAAGTCCGGACATCCTGGTCACTGCATGAATCTGTCTCTTTCAAGATGGGGACTGACCAGGATGGTCGCGTGTCGATTTAATATGATGAGTCGATTTCACCACGTTAAGTGGATATAATAATCCACCACCGCTTGGGCGGATTCTGTGCGCCGTTCGCGTCTGCCACCGTCCCCTCCCGTCGGAGCTGTCCTCCAATTCCAGCAGGTAGATCCAGTAGTTAGTACAGCAATGGAGAAGAGCGCAAGTACTAGTAGATATTAGTGGGTTGTGGCTGTAGATGTATGTATGTATGTATAATGTATGTGTATATGTTGTTATTCCCACCCTTGGCTAGCAGTTATGAGAATAATGATTTTTTGAGTTAGAGTTATACCTGTCATGTTGGAAAATGTTTGTTTTGTGCCTGGCGCGGATGCAACCTTTCACCCAATTGCCATTTACCGGAACCATGGTTCAAGCGTCCCCTTCCAGCCCGTGGCTTCCCTCTGGGTCCCGAACCAATCTGGCAAGTCAACCAGCTTATCCCGACACACAGGATCCGCTCTGGCGTTCACAAGGTTCAGCCAGGCCGAGGAAGCTTCCGTCGGGCGTCCAGTCAAGACATTGCAACTTTGGGCTACTGCGGCCACTAGTTTGGGTCCGTCCAGTAAAAACCACTTGCTCCCTAAACTGTTATTGCGACAGCGACGGCTGGAACTTTACTTTACGGCTCATTTACTCCATCCTTTGCCCACATCTGTTGTCTCCATATCTTCTTCACACGCTCTCTCTTGATTTCTCTTACTTACTCGTACTCTCTCCACTATCTTTCTCTCTCTCTCTCTCTCTGCTTTCCCCTCTTGCAATTGATCTATCATTTCCATTTTCCTTTTGTTTTCCCCTCCCCCATCATCTCATTCCTTCTTGTCAATTGTGACCCAAATTTTTGGATACGTTTCCCGCAGCCGTTTCAACTTTCAATCTAAAACACTCAAGAAACTTTCCGTGGCTCTCGACACGGGGCATGCGCTTTCAGCCTCGATCTTGAAAACCCGCCAATCTTCAGCTCGTCGGTGCTCTCGACTGCTTTGTGTCTCCCCAGCTCTCTGGTGTGCGGCATCTTTTCCCTACCATGGTCAAAGCTAGGACCATCCCATCACAATCGGAGGCTTAACGGTCGCTCACTTGCTTCGCCTTGCTCATTTGGCCGCCCCCACGACTCGGTCATCGCCCACCTGGATTCCCTGATATATAGTCAACATACCTTCCCTCTGTTCCCCTGATGCAGGCTTCCCACCCGCCAGTGTCCATTCACACCATGTCCCAGCAGGATCTGGACCGTCCCTCCGCCAGAGCACCCCATAACGAGTCCCCCGAACCATATTCGGTCCACACCCGCTCCAGGTCAACTGCACATGCGCATAGTCCTAAGCGGCTGTCCGTGTTCAGTGGACGCTCTCGCAGTAACACCACCAACTCTACCACCTCTTCCCGCCGTTCCCCCGCGTCTTCCATGACTTCCGTGGATGCAGCATCGCTGCCGTCGCATGATGACCGGGCAACCTCGGCGGCTGGTGTCCGCCATGAACGGCCCGAGAGCGTGACCAAGTCGCTCCTTTCGCGGGGAAGCCGGATCCTCCGTCGTCAGGGAAGTAAGTTCCACATTGTCTCCACGCTGGACGAGGAGGATGAAATGGAGCGTGAAAAGCCTCGCTTTGAAGTCTCGGAGATCTTCAGCCGGAACAAGTCACGCCATAGTGATGCGCGTAAGTCACTCCTGTCACATGCGGATTGCGCTGTAATTATCGACATTGTATTCATTGCTCACACAATGGACTCGCCACAGATGACCAGCTGAAGAATCTCATCTCGGATCCTTTTGACTTCCACCATCTGACTCATACGAGCCCGTCCCAATTCCAATCGCTGGAAAAAGCCCGGGAGACTGACCTAGTCACTGAGTTCTCGGCCATTCGTGCCTCCCAGAGGCCTGTTACCAACCTGAAAGGAATTCGTGCTGAAGACCTGCACTTCCGTGACTTCTCCACGGAGGATCTTACTCAGTGTGGGACGGCCATTGGCTGTGACGACGTTGTTCCCCCTCCGCCAACAAGCCCACCAGCATCTCCAGGTGGTTCGTCGGTGAGTCCCAAGCAGCGCGACCTCAGAGGACGAAGAGAATCGCGCGTCGTTGAGAACTTCTCGCGGCCTGTCCCAAGGTTTCCTAGAGTTGGGTCAACCAGCCCGCCGCCGAGAGCCTCCTCCCCGAGGCTGGCATCCTCCCCTGAATTACCTGAGCCAGCTCCTCGCGCCATTGACGAGATCCTGGGTCTGTCAACCCAACCGACATACCCGGAGCATGTATACTCGCATACCGAGGATGTAGAACATGGTGCTGCTTGGCCGCAGATCCCTATGGAAGACATGTTCCAACCTCCTTCGGGCCATGCCTTTCCAACGAGCGTCAACAACGAAGTGATGAATGCCCGCACCTCGTCAATGTCCTTACCCACTCTGTCGTCAGACTTGGAAGACGTGCCAGAAGAAGAGGAGCCGGCCCCCTGGCATGAAGGAGCCGGCCTCGAAACTGACGAGGTCTCTCCTCGCGCGCCTGTTATGTCAAGATCTCCACCTCTGTCTGAGGCGCAATCTCCATCCAACACTTCCCTGGCTGGCCCTAGGTCCGATTTGTCCATTTTTGTCGCCGAAGACTTGTCAAGAAAGTTCGCCGAGGCACTGGGTTCCCCCACCCTTCCACAGGATCGTATTGCACCACTGCAAGAGTCCATGGCTCAGGAGCCAGTCCGAAGGAGATCCTCAGTCAACTTGAAAGCCATCCAAGAAACTATATATGAGTCTTGGGACGCAGACATTGACTACTGCTATGAACATGCTGCCGAGTCGAATTGCAACTTTGACTGGACTCGCAGTTCAATTGACGAGGCTCGACAAGACGATGCGGAACACGGGGTTACTGGCGCAGATGGGAACACTGCGATGTTTGAACCAATGCGGCTGAGCGCGTCGGCCTTGCCCGCTGCGGACCTGGATCATGTCCCCAGCGCACAGGTAGTGGTTACCTCCACACTAGATGACAACACTGGCATTGCTGTGACGCAGCGGGACAGTGATTATTTTCAGCCTGTGAGGTTTGCCCCTACCTTGGGGAAACATATTAGCCCCGATTCGCTGTACGATGAGTATTTGACGGCGGACACGGAGTCAGACCGACACTTCGCCTTCTACTCGCAGCCAGGTGTGATCCAGCCTATGGACCAGTCTGTGTCTCCCCGGAGCAGCTTTTCCCCCATCAGCAAGTGTAACTCCCAGGAAAGTTTGATCCTGTCCCGCGCCGCGTCGGTCGTCCGCAAACATCGTTCCTCCGTATCGACTGCTAGTGTTCCTGATCTAGTGCACAGTTTGGCAAGCAGCCGTGAGTTCCACCCATCTGAGCAGAGACTCTCAGGTGAACTTTCAGGAATGGGGCGCCCCGAATCTTCCCATCACCGGCAGACCAAGAGCCTGGCCCGCGAAGTTGAAGCCCAGCTTCTTTTCCGAGCCGATGGCGACGCAAGCCCCGAGCCTTCAGGCTATGCGTCCACCGTGGGTCCTTCCATCCACGACAGAGCCAAGTCCACCACTGAAGTGGAGGCAGGCCCATTGATTGCCAGAGCCATCAAGAATGATGCTGCCTCTAGGGCCGCCCCTCGGCGCAAGGGCCGCGCATCCTATTCTCTCTTCCCCACTCCTGCAGCCAATTGAGCTGCAATCAACCCGACGACAACTTGCATCCATCACAGACCCCTTGTTCTCAGCAGTCTGCAACATTCCGTTCCTCATCCGTTCACTTATAGAACTTCTTCAACGACTTGATGATTCTTTTTTTCCCTCATTGTGGTGGCTTGCGTTTCGATTTCTCTGCGATGAATGTTATCTATTGAACCGTCATTCGGTCCCAATCTTGCGGGCCATGCGCTTATGTTTTCTTTGTTATTTCCTCAGATTTTCTTCACTTGCATTTCCTGGTGCATTTCTCAGCGACTGTTTTCCTCGGGAAGAAAAAATCTTGGGTGTTTTTCTGGCAATGGAGGATTTGGAAAGGACAGTGAACGGGGTTTCAGTCGGAGAACATTCGTTCGGATTTATATTTTTCATTTTATTGGTCTCGGTTTTTGTCTGGGTAGTTGCTGCAATTGCAGTGGCACTTGTGTTGTTCAACATCCATTGTCGATTTAGGTCTGTGTCAGTATATAGATAGAGCAGGAAGGGATAACTGGGTCTGTCTGGGAAGAGTTGTTTGATACGAGGTTTACACGCGGGCAAACCGTGGAGAGGAAAAAGTGATGATTATAACATTTGATATTACTGTCACTATAGCATGAATGGCGCTATTCATTGATTCAGTTTTCAAGTACTGGGAATTGCAGTAGCAGACGTTGAAACAAGTAAGCCCACGTGCATCAGGCTAGACCAGACCACCTGATCGCCATGTGACGGCAGCTCTCACCGCCAACCATGGCGGTCTGGATATTCTGCCAGTAGTGTGCTCCTTCCTCTGCTGATATCGGGGATCGCTCTTTCCATGTTCGTCATCCACGCTTGGTCGCAGACGAGCATGTCGTCTTCCTTCTTCCTTCGCCTCTTCATCATTTAGCAATCTTCTTCTTCGATACTTCTACGCTTATGTCTTTGCCTCACCCGCAATCACCAGTCATGTCTGCCGGCTCGCAGGCTCTGACCAAGCGTCAAAGCGAAACCAGCCTTATGCCCCCGCCGCCGCCACCCAAGCGTATCAAGCGGCCGGCCACTGTGTTGGACGAAGATATCTACACCAATGCTCTGTCGGAGATTATCGCGCGTGATTATTTTCCCGGTCTCCTGGAAGCCCAGGTGAAGCAGGAGTACTTGGATGCACTTGATTCGAAAAACAAACAATGGATCGCAAGTTCCAAGAAAAAATTGACCGACCTGTTGAAGACACCGGGAAGAGCTCGATCGCATTCCGGATCAGCCAATATGACACCACGAGCCACCAATTCGGGACGCCCTGAAGACACCCCGATGGGCTGGGGTGGAGATACACCGATGTCAGTCATGTCAACAACTTCGTCATCTACTACACCCAACGTCGACCATGCTACGATACCGGATGTGTCCCGCCTTGGGCTGCTAGAGTTCCAGGCCAAATATACGAGTGAAGATAATGAGTCGTTCAACAAGCTGCTCGATAAACAAAATGAAAAGCACCGCGAGAGATATAAATGGCTGTGGAGTGGGAATAAAATACCGACTGCTAGACAGATTGCGCATCGGCGGCAAGAAGCTAAGCGGATCGAGGCACAAGGGGGTAACCCAGATCAGCTCAAGCAGGTGGCCATAAAGACTGACCTGGACGCCCGGCCTGCAAATCCAGATACCTGGAAGACTCAACCCGAGAACTCGCTCATGTTTGCGCCTTCTTCCATAGAGGACTCATATGAAACTATACAGCAAAAAGCCGAAGCATCATCGCGCGCAGGGCCCAAGCGGGTAGTGTTTCAGAACACACGCTTACCAGATGAGAGCGTCCAGCAGACGTCATCTGCCACAAATGCACCCCCGCCCTCACCTTCGATATCGGCCATTAAAGACGCTATTGCCGGACACCCTCGCCCCACCGAATCTGAAGCAGTATATACAGGGGGTGAGACGCCACGAGTGAATGGGTATGCCTTTGTGGATGAGGATGAGCCTGAATATCCCCTCGCTTCATCAAATGACAATAACGATTCTGCGATTTCTCTGGATGACATTCGCCTGCTTGGCGGCAGTGATGCCACACCGAATCCTTTTGAGATCAAAGAAAACCGGAGACGAGAAGATATTCACCACCGCATGGTAGATCGCGTAGCGAGGTCTAAGCGAGCGGAGAAGTCCCTTCGCGAAACAAAGACCCCTGTAACGCCACGGTTCGCCAGCAGCCCACGACTGGACTTTGGTTTGCGCACCCCAAGTGCAGCTACGCCAGGAGGGAGGACGAACAAAGCGTTGACTCCCGCAGCGCAGAAGTTACTTCACCAGGTGGGAAGTACGCCTCGTCTAGCGGCATCGTCCTCAAGTTCATCTCTGAGGAACATGTGGACACCGACCCCGAAACGGGGCAAATAATGTGGTGTCTGCTTTCATACAAATTTCTCCTTTTCCTTTTGAAAGCTAAATGAGTTAGCGCTTGTGTTTTGACTTGACATTATTAGATACCAGGGATTATTGCGGCGTCATGAAAGGGGATTATATGCTATCATGAGTTAATGGTTAGAAGGGTTCGACATTTTTACTACAACAGTTGCCGTCTACATTTGGGCATCTGTCATATGGCAATGTATATACTCATACAAAATGGTGAGGTTTATTACTAGCTAGCTGCCTTTGGTCTAGTGTTTGAGACACACCAAGGCAAGTGTAAAGACTTTTTGGGTGTAGAGAAGACAGGCACACCTGCCAACTATAAGCAAGTGTATTTTTACAGTTTACGTCTCAAAACACTTCTCATCTAGGGGGCATGTTAGGTGAAAATAACAGATACAAACTCCAGGCTGTAACATAGAAGTCATCCTTACGCAGAGGGGGTATCTATTCGCATCTTCGTATCAGCTATGCACATGCAATGCCTCTCTGATCCAGCATTATGACTCCACCATCTATGCCCGCTCCAAACATAAAGCAGACAATCTATGTATTCCACACTATACATACCCGATGCATGTTGACTAACGAAATAAGAAAATAAAGAAAGAATAAGGAATTCCCAGATTCTGGGGAATAGTGACACTCATTCGAATTAATTGCGTACGAAAAACTCCTTCTACCCAAGAACCCAGAACAAAGTCCAAACACTTATCACCATATAAAGGGAGATCCAGATGCTCTCATGCAAACTGGAAACAGCATTAAGGTAATACGCTGCTCCAAGATAACTGCACGTGATGTCACCATTAGGGTCGCGTGTGCCGTACGACATATTCGCTCGCGGGCCTTCCGGACAGCTGAAGCCTAAAATCGAAGGACAATTTCGGACAAGGCTATGACAGACGCCCTGGCAGGGGAGAACTTCCTTGTATGGACCGGGGCGGATTTTGCTGTCGATGAGGGGGTTGCGTGAGTTGTTGGTAGCGGGGCTTTTGAGGAGGGAGGAGTTGGTGATCGAGGTGCCGTTGAGGAAGGGCTGGCCTGCATTCCGGATCTGAAGGTAGGTGGCGTTGCTGGAGAAGTCTGCGCAACGGGGGATTGTCACGGCGCAGAGCCATTGCTTGTATGCTTCGGCGCAGGTGTGGCAGGATACAGCGAGGGAGAACATGCTCTCGCTGGAAGTATTGCATTGGACTTGTTGGAGGGAGTAGTTGAAGTTCTTGTATAGGGATGCTGCGTTGTCGTCGTAGATACTGCGGAGTTCGGTCATGTTGATGGAGGGGTTGGATGGCACTGCGTAGGCGACTTCGGAGCAGAATGGCAGGTCGTATACAACAGCACAGTTGTCATCTGTTTGGCCCTTCGTTAGGGTACATTTAGACCGTGGCATTGGGGCTCATTGTCTCTCACCTGTTTTGGTTGTAAAGTTCATGCGTGGCCATACTTTACCTCCACCTCCCACGATTCCATTGCCCCAACTGGTGGAATTGCCCTCACGAGCCATGATTCCGTAGTAGGTGGAGGTTTTGTTGAGACCGGTGACATAGAACTGCTCGGTTGGCCTGTCTACTGCACCCCGGGTGGTGAGGCTCGCCTCAACTTTGCTCTTCCCAATCTGCGCCAGCGTATCGAGAGCGCAGAATGACCGTTCTAAGCCAGAGATAGACGAACTGTTGATGTTGTTGGCGAACATTGTGTATGGAGGAGTCCTGTCCATCCAGGAACTGTAGTTCTGTGACGTAAGATCGGTGGTGGTGAGATTTCTCGTCGTCAGAAGCGCTGCTCCAGTGTCCGAATCAACTAAGAACATGAACTGATCGCTCTCGTCGACGCTATGAAAATAAGCATCTGTCGAGGCCGCAATCTGGTAGGTGAAAGAACCAGAATATTCAGTGCTATTAGGAGCTGTCACTCCGACATAGACATCACCATTCGCCGTAAGGGTCATGCCCACATAGCCCTCCTCCGCTGATTTGATTGTCTGGTCGGACTCGGACTTGTCAGGCCCAGGCTTCTCTATCAATTCAGATGCGTAGACTGTCAGCTGCGGTACGGCCGCTGTGCTAGTGGAATCCGAGCTGTTGTGGCTGGGCTTCGAGCATGCCGTGAGGGACAAATAAACGGTGGTGGAACGCTTGGAAAGATCGCGACGCTTATTCTCAGAGGTGCTATTGGTCTCATCGCCATTCACGGGGAAATACCACCACTCCGTCTCGCCCATCTTGAGAGTGCCATTTTGATACTGATTATTTCCGAGGGATGTCACCCCAGTGGGAGCCCGGCGAACCAAGTCGAGTCCGCGCGTATCTCCCTCTTCGTCTACCGCATCTTCGAACTCCAAGCCGTTGTATTCTGCGAGTGGGAAAGCGAATTCCGGACTAGCCTCACCGAAGAGGAATTGGCCATGACTTGTGGAGGCCAGGGTTGAGGGATCTGGCAGGGCATTCTCATCCGCAGTCGCAGTCGCAGTCACTCTGCCAACGCAGATGGCCAAGGCGATTGTGCATCCGAGTACCGCGCGGACAGTCGCACGCCGGCGGCACTGTAGGCGTGGCGGTATAAGGCGAACGAACATTCAGGATGGTTGAAGGATTGTTGATTGCGAAAGGAAAGGCATCAATCGACGTCCATGGGCTGTCTTGTGCCGGAGCGTTACAATTTCCTCTCACGGCGGAGGCCAGCCGAATTGTGAGGGGAAATGCAAGTGCCAACGGGGATGGAGATGCGATCGGGGGTTACCCCATGAACACAAACAGCATTCGCCCCGTGTGACGTGAGTCCGTTCAACCTGGAATTGGAAATCCCAGTCGGTTGGTCGCTGAAATTAGGGAAGATGGGCCTGAGGTCATGCTGGCTGGAGAAGAAAAGAGTCTGGACTCTCGTAAGGCGTGGGATTTGCCGGTTGCCTGGAGGCTCCGAATCGCAGCTTATCTTGGCGCCGCCACTCCACTTCCTCCGGAAGCCTCAGCATATACCACTAACAACAATTTCGTGCATCCATCCCTCCCTCCCTTGCTTAAATTCTACGGTATGTTTTCGTAGCTTAGGAACAAATATTTTCTTCATGCATATGCATATCATTCACTACTACAAACAAGCTAACCCATTCATGTCCATCGGATATTTACGTGCATGATCATATTGACAAAACCAAACCTCCCCCCGACTCACCCTGCTAGGCTCACACGAGCTTGTAGCAGCGAGCCACTACTCCGCTGAGAATGACAATAGCTGCAATAACCCCAAGAATCCCAAAGAACCAGCCAAGTCCTGCCGCATCTTGCCCAGGGACGCGGACGTTCATTCCGAAGAGACCGCAGATCAGGTTCATAGGGACCAGCATGGTGGCAATGAGCGTCACCTTGCTCAGAACTTTGTTGACGTGATTGCCCAGCATCAAGTTAGTCACGTTCAGCTGCGCGAGATAGTTGGTATGCGATCGGCTAAGCATCTTCTCAAAATGCGCCAGGTTGGACATCATGGTTACGACGTGATCCTGAATGTCACCCAGGTAGAGGCCGATGTCGCCACGCGGTGTCACCGAGTACTGCTCGTTGCAGCGCTTGGAGAAGCCCCGGATAACGTCCGCCTTCCCTCCTAGCAGGCGCATCAAACTCATGACTTTCTTGCGCAGACCACCGATGCGCGGCAAGAATGACTCGAAGTCATCCATACGCGCGATGAACACGAGATCTTCGATGGCCTCGGACTCGACCTCAATCTCCCGAATGACGGGCCCAAAACTATCAACGATATCGTCGCTAGAAGGCAATTAGTCAATTTTGTCCACAGCGCAATGCTCATCTTTACTAAAACTTACATCATGGCGTAACAGATCCAATCGCTACTCAGCGATACATAGTCACGGAGCTTTCCAATTCTCCTCCGGACGTTAGCGGCATGAGGGTTATCGGTGAAAGAGAACGAGAGCACCCCATCACGAAATACGACCATATAAAAGTTGACTGGCTCCATGAAACGCTCGTCCGCCTTGTCCACCTGGTAGAATGTCCGGAAACAGACAAAGTAATACTGCTTGAAGAGCTCGACTTTCTCACGCGCTTCCTGGGTCAAGATATCCTCTGTTGTCAAAGGATGAATAGAGAAAGCTCTGGACAAAGCTCCCACCTCATCCTCAGTGGGGTTTAGGACATCAAGCCACCAGACACCTCCGTCTGGACCCAATTGGAAAAGATCTCGGAAGGTGTCTCCCGGCAAAACCAGGTCACCCAGCTCGGCAGCATGCACGGTACTCTGTGCCTCCGACGAGAAGAATCCAAAGCGAGTAGGCTCGTTTGTGTTTTTCAGGGTCGCCAACAGTTCCTTTTCGTTTACGACTTCGGAAAAGTCCTTCTTTTCTTCCTTCTCCAAAGTTGACTCCAAAATGTCTTCTGACGAACGCTCAATGCTTGACGAACGTTTCTCCGCGTCCTTCTCGGACTTCTGAGCACCCGGACGAAGGTCATAAAAGACCCGCGGCTTCTGACTTTGCGAGCTGACGCTGTGCTTGCGTCGGTTTGCGGAAGGTTTCGCCTTTTGATTGAGAGCAACGAACTCCTCCAGCTCCTCGTAGTCAATCACTGGAATTCTGCCCGGCTGTTCAAACGTCGGCAGGCAGCCATCATCGGTCGGCTCCAATGTTAAATCTCCAGGCTGCGGCCTGACCACACTCGCATTGCTGAAGGTTGGACGGCGAGGATGTGTGCCACCAGATACCGTGCGCTGGAGGATGGCTTCCAAGTCTGGGGCTGCATGGCTTTCCAAAGTATTCGCACGCTCTCTGCGACGCGGGTCTGCGAATGCTTCGACCGAATTGGGCGGAGACGTCGACCGAGCAGACACAGATGACTCGCGCGACAAGTTCGGAATTTCCTGGTGCGTGCGACTATAGGTACGGCCGTGGCGGATGTTCCCCGTAGGATCAACTGAAAAGCGACGTCCCATAGCATTGAAATCCTTGTCTGATCGATCATCATCCACTACCGCGGTTTCGAAATCACGCGATAGAGAGCCAGCTTCCCGAAGCGCATCCTCGATGTTAAGCAGGTCTGGACGCTGAGGCGTCTCGGGATTGAAAGCCTGCGGGACGGTATTTTGCCGACTCAGTGGCACATCGGGGGTGGCTTCCAAGCGTGGCGCATCCAATTGAAATCGATGATCATCCAATTCAGGAACCGGGGTGCTGAACCTGGTCAGGCACATGTATTTCTCGGACTTCGGTGACTCGGACATTGTGGCTATATCGGTGTTCTTGATTGATTCTTCCTCACGTGGGTATTTATAACAGGGTTGATGAAAGCGAATTTGCTGGCAGGGAGCCGATATTGTTGACTTAATGTTTTTTTGAATTGATTATATGCGCGGCGGCGTTCAAGGGCGCGGCGTCGGAAGTTGTAGACTGGATGAGAAAGGTCCCAGGGCGATTGCTCCTCCATCCATTAGCCAGACCCCTCGCAAGGGCCTGGCATTACCGATGCGCGTCCGTGTGCCAGCTTTGAGACTGCTTGAATAAGCTCTATTAGGGGGGTCTGGTGTCGCCCCCGCAGAAGACCCTGAACTTGGGGCCCAGAAGAGGGTGGAGGAGGGAAGACTGGTTGCAGCGAAGGCCCGCCAACTTGACTGAGTGAAGCGTAAGGAGCGCCGTCGCTCCGAAAAGTGCGGGGGAAAAGTGCGATGACAGAGAGAACTCTTTTAACAGAGTTCTCGCAATTCAGCGCAAGATTCGACCGGCAGGATTGACGCCCAAACTGGGTTTAACGAGATCGAGAAGAGCTGCTGGACAGCGGATAATAAGTCGGACCAATCGGGCTGCAGAAGATCGAAGACAAGTTTCGGTCTGACTTCAATGAAGTGTTGGATTGAAAAGTGCACTGAATGTGTTTCAATGTGAGTGGTGATGATCGTCGGCACACTCAAAAGGAAGAGGGTGGGAGACGACTGGTAGAAAAAAGAGTCGCAAAAGTGGAATGGGGGACCCTATTTTTTTTAGAGTATGATGTAGTACGCACCACACTCGGAAAAATAGACCCCGTGGTCAAAGACGATGCGTCAAACCACGAGGACGGGAAAAGAGCAACGGCGAATCAAAGACAGCCGGAACACTTGAAGAAGCACGATGCAAGATTCTAAAATATGAATAAAATCAAGAGCAATGGGGTTTTGAAAGATGTCACCAAGGAGGTGATTATGAGGGAGATGTCTCAAGGGGACAGGAGAGGACCGAGAATCAAGGCAGCCGAGTGGAGGAGCAATTCTAGTATTAAATAAAATACGAGGGGCGGGCAGAAATTTCCGCTTCAAGGGTGAAAAACGGACTGAGGAGTCTGAAATTTTTAGTTGAAGACGCCGCGTCGGCAAAGGCCCCGAGGCGGGTTTAGTCCGGTCGTCGTCCAATCACGCCGGTGGCTTTTAGTAGTCTGGAAATCTGGGTGCTCCCGAGTCCGTGGCCATCATCAGCTGCTCTGCAAGAATAATCCAGTGAGTAGTCACTCCCACTACATGTGGGATGGTCAAATTTATGATTGTTCAAATCATTGCTTGACCTCTGTGAGGAATCGGGAATCTCCTGGAATGGTCTTGCTTTGTGGATGTGGACCTTATTCGAGTGGGTTCTATCTAGTAGTATCTATTCCATTCATTCAAGCTGCAAGCCTGAAATTAATTACAGTACGTACTACTGGGCACCTGTCAAAAACTTTCCTGTGAAAGAATTATTTATATCTCTTTTGGCTGGCAAACCTGCACGTTCCAGATCCAATGGTTGCCGTGGACAAGCCAGATCCGTGTGATCTACCCACTTCGTCCAATACTATGTCTCATTTGCTAGCATCCTCTTACTTCACTCTATCACCCAAGGTTCTCAAACGGAATTGCGCGAATAAGACCTATCTAGGCAGCAATCTCAACATCCCATCCTATCTCGTTAAGACTGCGTCCACATCAGCTGTTGCATGGCACTAAATACTTACTACTTTGTACTAAGTAAGTATGTCTTGCTTCGCCCGAAGAAGTCTTCATCTCCTAAGTGGGCGTAAATACTGGTAATATTACCTTGCCACATGGAGCCTGACTTAGGGGGGAGAAGGTCGTCTTCTGCTGCCCAATGAAGGCTAAGTTGATCATAGCTGAGTCGCACTGCAATTCCAGCCCTGCGTATCCAATTCCACACGCGAGTGGACGAAACAGGGCAGAAAGGATCAAACCAGATCTGGCTCATTCTCGAAACACATCATCCTTCCAAAACCCCCACAGGGGTATGCATGAAAACTTTTATGATATAGTATGTATGTCATTGTCACACCCTTTCCACCGAATCATTGTTAGTCTGTTCAGCTATTGTAGGACAATGAGTAGGGAGAGAAGTCTTTTTTGGACTGGTCGGAAAAGTATATTGCACTTGAAGGAGGGGGGGAAGCAAGCGTTTGCGGTTGAGGTTGTGTTGTGTTTGTAATAATACGCACAATCTTCAGGTCAGATCGAGATCCAATCAGGAGGAGTCTACTGAGGGAAAGCGATCGCATGACTCCAAAGAAAACTTGTATTGATTTAGTTACTATTTGCCAGCTTAACTATGGATGTGAACAAGGCAGTACTTTCTGTAAGAAGTAGTAGTAAGTATTAATAACCATGTCACAAACAATGATGATAGGAGAATTTGGGAAATAATCTTCGAACTTGGCTTTGTGGCACCTGGATCTAGCAAAGCCCTGTGGCCCCTCACTTGCCCGCTTTCTGCTTCCCCGACGTCGGCCTTTTTTTTTTCTGCTAATTTTTGGAAATCCGTTTTCATTACCTTTTTTGACCACCGAGGAGCGCCAAGAAAAGAAAAGAGTCACAACCTTAAGTCGGAGCCGAGTGCGATAATAATTATTATTGTAGTGACTCAAGTCTATCTATCACTACTACGCTGGTGACTGGCAACAACGGTGCTCTTGCCATACATACTACATACCTAGCAAGTCACTGGAGGTTTCATCCCGCTTCAGTCCATTTTTCTTTCTTTCTTTTTTTTCCCCCCTGATCCCTCCTCCGTCCTTGTTCCTCCACAATGGCTGCCACTTCCTTTGTTATCAGGACGCCCTGCTCGTCCGCCAACATTGGACCTGGGTTCGACGTGATCGGTCTGGCATTGTCCATGCATTTGGAGCTCCACGTCACAATTGATACCTCCAAGTCATCGCAACAACCACTTAACTGTCGTATCACATATGACGACCTGAGCAACAGTACCGAGAAGATCAGTCTGGACCCCGAGGTTAACTTGATCACCCGTGTAGCACTTTACGTACTTAGATGCCATAGCCAACGGGCATTCCCTGCTGAGACTCATGTGCACATCGTAAACCCGATCCCCTTGAGTCGGGGTCTCGGTTCTTCTGGCACTGCCGTTGTGGCTGGTGTAATGCTGGGAAATGAAGTAGGTAAGCTTGGGCTCAGCAAGGATCGTCTCTTGGATTATTGTTTGATGATCGGTAAGTCGCACGTCCATCTTTCTGCTGGTGGGGAATAAAGTCGAGCATCCTGCATGCGATTGATACTGCTTGACACCCCGTCATTTGCTGGCCATCGCTCATCTGCTCAACAGAACGACACCCCGACAATGTCGCTGCCTCGCTCTTCGGAGGCTTCGTTGGCACCTATCTCAACGAACTCGCCCCCGAAGACGTAGCGCGCAAGGAGATCCCTCTCAGTGAAGTTCTCCCTTCTCCGGCCGGTGGCATTGACACCGGCAAGAGGCCTCCTGAGCCGCCCATTGGCATCGGTCATTACAGAAAGTTCCAGTGGGCCAAGGAAATCAAGGCTATTGCCATCATCCCCGACTTTGTCGTGCCCACCGCCAACGCCCGGAATGTTCTTCCTACCTCGTATACCAGAGCGGACGTTGTAAGCATTGTTCCCTCCGTCGCCAATTCCGAATCCGATAGCAAATGAGCTGCATCGGCTAATGCTATTACTTTGTTTAGGTCTTCAACCTCCAGCGCGCTGCCTTGCTCCCAGCAGCTTTGGGCAGCTCTCCGCCGGACCCAGACATGATCTATCTGGCCATGCAAGATAAGGTCCACCAACCATACAGACAGACTCTTATCCCCGGCTTGACGGAGATTCTCCAATCAATGAACCCACGTACGCAGCCCGGTCTGCTTGGAATCTGTCTGTCAGGTGCAGGCCCGACCATCCTTGCCTTGGCAACGGATAGGTTCCAAGAGATTGCAGACCGCATCATCTCTCGCTTTGCTACCAATGGCATCGCCTGCCAGTGGAAGTTGCTTGAGCCTGCCCAAGACGGCACCACTGTCCAATACTGAGAATCGGATGGCGGTTGCCCGAAGATCTATTCAAATCACACGAAAAAGAAAGTCATGATTTGAGAGTCTGATAGATATGACCGCCATGATTGGTGTATATGCTTTCATAGACGGCTAGAGCCAGGGGAAGGGCTCCATAAACAGTGGGCACAACGAAAGTGACTCTTTTTATCACTCGTTCTTATGATATCCGTGTCCACATTCTCTTACTGCACAGTCGCCTAGACTGTCAGTTTTACAAATTATCAAATCTAAATTTCCCTGCAAACACAGGATTGTCAAGGCAATTTGTGTACTCCTGTAGATTTAAAGAGACTGTTTGCTGATCCGACAGGAAGAGCACTGTTATTACAGATGCATTGCTAGAAGATATACAACCCGGCCACATTATCAATGGCCGTCCTCCCGACGTCCCTATAATGACACCGAAAACAAGCAATTAAAGAAAGAAATAGTAAAGGACGATGTTCAATCGATCGATGATGGGTAACTTAACTAGTACAATCAGGAGCACAATACGTCATGCCCGATACAGGCCTCAATATTACGAATGTTACTGTCCGTGTAACAATACAGTGTCCGATTGACCCGCGATAAGCAGAGGCGGTGGACATGCGACCACCTCAAGCTAACCTCAGCGCCGGCAACGAAGTAAAGGGTGCCCCTTCGACCAGCGACCGTCTAGATCGAACTGGGAAACAATCATATCGCACTTTAATCAAAACATCCACAATGGATAGTCTACTGGCGCCAATTCAAGATGCTCTGGAAGGTCAAATCGTGAGTTCTAGGTTTCCTTTGCGCCCGTTGTTTTGGGTGATCGTTATTACAGCCACCTATGCGTTTACTTCTATCTACCTATCCGGAGTGTATGGTTAACCATGTTGCCGTTTCCATGAATAGGACTTCCAGGGCCAGCGTATTGCAGAGCTTCTTAGTACGGTGCTTCTTGTTCTGTCGGGTGTAAGTTTCTCTACTGATTGTTCTACGATGATGGTGGTGGTGTTGTTGTTGATGTCTTCTGGTCTGATTGCTTACGATGGTCGCTTTGTTTAGGCCGTTGCTTTCATTGTTGGATACATCTTCCAGGATATCCATCTAACACTCTGGGTCGGATTGGCCGGCACGTTAATAACTGGGTTGGCCGTGATTCCGCCTTGGCCTATGTACAATAAGAATCCCGAGAAATGGCTTGTTCCCTTGACGACGGGCGTGGGAGGTGGTGCAGGTATTGTGGTAGATGGAGTTAAGGTTGCGTGAGACAAGGAGTCGCGGACTTTGGACATGTCTATTTAATATCCTGAATCAATCACAACTTGTCCGCTTGCGTGTGCACAAACAAAACCTGCATCGATAATTTTGAAAGCCGCTGCTGAGAACTGCGAAATGAACCACAAACGCCATAGAAAGCCCTCCCTTCCGGTTCTACCTGATAGGGGATATTGTAAGACATAGAAGGTGATCCGCCCGTATTCGAACCCTGCGATCTTCGCACACGCGTTTACCGGCCGTACTTCTGGAACTCCCAGTCCCTATTGTCGAGGGGACAAACTTGACGGGTTTTCAGCCACCGCGAGATGCAGTGAAAGTGGAACGCATGCTAGAGACAGAAAAAAAAGTGGGCGTTAGTGTGGGATGCAGAGTGAGTGTCAGGAAGAGTAAACTTACGTTGCAGATACCCCAAGCAACTGTACACTCTTCAGTTGTAGACGAACCTTGGTTGGCCTGGCACTCGATACCTAGCAACCATCAAACATTAGACTTCGGGTTACATGAAGGCAAGACAGGTCCAAGACGTACAGAGATCCATGATGTGATTACGGCAGATTGCACAGTTGTCGACGACAATATCCCACGCCCACAGAGCGACCGCGTTCCACTAGAAGAGCAACCCGATTAGCTTCAACGGTACTCAAAAGGGAAGCACACAACTTTGGTGCTGTACCTTCTTAACCTCAAACTTCTTCTTGCCGTCACTGGCACCTTCGGAAGCTTTCGACGATCCCTTTGCTTTGACAGCGGCGGCAGAGCCGGCTTCTTTCATTTCCACGTCCGCCATGTTGCGCGCTTTAACCCTTTGACGGCGCTTAGTCTGTCGAAAAACCGGTCACAAGTCGGAATAGGTGAACGAGCTCAGCAAGGTTCAGAGGAGGGGCAAGCAAATAGATTAATTACGTAGGTCGCTCGGATAGTGGTGGTACCTGACCTATAGGTACTATTGGTAGTAGTTGTGGTTAGTTAGCTGATAACCCGGGGAGTGGTTGCGGTGTGAGCCCACCGGCAATACTTTCTGGTGGACGTAGATCGGAGAGGGGCATTGGCTTACCCGAGGAGCACTGACGTAGTAGGGGTATTTCTATCAAAGGAAGGGTTGATAGGAAATGATAAGGGTAGGAAGAAGGATGAATCTTCGTTTATTTCTTTTTTTTTTTCTTCTTTTCTAAAAGCCGAGTACCTTGTTGGGGAGAATGATGTCCTGGGGGTATGAAGTGAGATAAACAGCAGCTGAATGGGAATTATTTTTTGTTTTGTTTGCAAGGCTGCTGGCCTGGCAGTGGCGTAAGAACTCTATGCTTGTTAACTAACTATTAGTGAACTGAACTTGTGACTTGTACCAAAGTGGCTGAGTCATCGCCGATGATCCCCGCTTGGTTCTTCTTCCCCCAGCCATTCTTAGGTTTCCGCCCGCCCTTCCCAAAGTCCAGTCGCTACTTACTCTCTCTCACCTTCACCTTTCTTCCCTCAAAGCCTCGGTCAAGACCTACAATGTACCTCAGCTTTCCTTTACTTTCTGCCTTTATTCGCCTATCTAGACGTGAGCATGCCTAGGAGTCTTGGCTTACTGCTTCCTCTGCGCTTCCTTCGACTCTAATAATAGACGATTTCAACTTTCCGACTTGATCCTCCCATCTGACGTCTTTCCGATCGATCAATCAAAGAAGACCAACTCGTCGGGCCACACACTCAGTGCCCAGCACACCTAGCGACGATCTTCTCTTGTCCTTATCTCCTGATAGTTCTATCCAGCTTTGAATTATTGAGTACGGGCTGCTGGACAGTGCTTCGTACCACTATCGACTCCGTAACTATCGTTCGAGCCGCTTCTTATCGCTATTGTTTTTGTTTCTGGTGCCGCCGCCGCCCAGTCGTTTTCGGTTTCTCTTCAAAAGGCTGCCTATTTCTTAAGCCTATCTGACCACCATGTCAACTCAATCGCCCAACCCTCCGACGCCAAAGGGCCCGCGAAACAATCGACGCAACTCGAAGAGGAATATGACACCCTCTACTCAGAAAGTCGCTATCCTGGCAACCCCTCCCTCGTCACCGCCAAGGAACTCCAGTCCTGGCGGGACCGCCACCGATTCCTCTATCAATGTCAACGCCTCCAAGAAGAAGAACAGTCGGTCTGTCAAGAAGCCGCGCGACGCATCCAAAGCATCCCCAGCACCTAATGGACACCGTCATACTACTTCTCAACCTAATAATACCATCGCCACTCCTCAAGTGAAGGACAGCCCCCATTACGCCGGCCCGACTTTCCATGCATCTCCGGCACCGTCAGCACTGCCTATTCCCAGTTTCTTCTCCAAGTCTCTACCAGAGTCCGATCTCGCACCGACCATAGAATCCGACGGTGATCACCTCGATGCTGAGCCAGATCTGGAGAACACCCCCTCAAAACCGAAGTCGCGCCCACAATTCCAAGAGGAAGCGCGCCAGTCAACACCTTTGGATTTTCTCTTCAAAGCTGCAGTCGAGGCCAGAAACCCCCAGCAGCAGCAGCAGCAGCAGCAGCAGCGAAGCCCCGAAGCAAGCAGTCGGGTCCGGTCGCCACAAACTGATTCTAAGACCCTTCAGCACCGTAGACCCAATGGCACTGCCGGTGGGCTCTTCCGGATGGAGATGGAAAGCCCGGAGTTCCAGCATTCACATATTGGGCCTTCCTTTGCGACCCCTTACAAAGACCGCATGAACGCGTTACGGTCGGCCAGCTCACCTTCTCCTCCGGTGTGTGATTTCGATGAGCAGGAGAAGAGAGCTAAAACCGAAGCTTTGAAAACTTTGTTGCTCAATCCTCGTCCCCAGAGGCCTTCGTCCGCATCTATCACGGCTCAAGATCACTTCAACCCAGTGATGGAGCGCCCTGCTTCAAATCCCGGCTTACCTCACTTTGCAACGCCAGTAAGAACGACTTCGGGACCGCCCGCTTCTATCTCGCATGGCATGTCGTATGATCAGAAACAGACATTCGTCGGAAATGGCCGGCACTATTCCTCATCCTATACACACTCGAACGCTGCTCAACAATATCACTTGCACAACTCTCCCTTGAGGAAAGAAGTCCTTACTTCGAGAGTTGAAAACATGCCGAGCGTTCATGGCCAAGCTTTCTACCCTCCAGCCGCGTACGATCAGCCCAAATCTCCGCCTAAGTATGCACAATATCCGACGTATTATTCTCCTCCGCAGCACCAATCTCCTGTCTCACGGAGCGTGTCAGTGAGCAACAACGCGCAGCCTTATGACACGAAGAAGATTGAAGATGATCTACGAAGGATCTTGAAACTCGATGTAAACCCTACCATGCCAGCCAACGGCATGCAAAGCTCCTTCGCCTGACGCGACTGTCATTGGCATTTCGTGAGGCCTTCCTTCCTTCCGTTGATTTCCTATTTCATCCGTTCATTTCACGATATCAAGTTTTCAGAAAGGGCACAGTCTTGACGAACAGTGCTGGGGACACTAGCTGAATCCCACTGGCCATGTGAAGCATGGTCTCATTTTTACTGGGCTACCGCAACTTACGTTCACATCCTAATCATCTTGCGCTTCATGTCCTAAGTTATGTTCTATGTCCTTCTCAGGGGTCCTGTTCTGTTGTTCTCCACGGTTTCATGTTGGTAGCGGCTATCCTGGCGATTGAAAGGGAGTTATCTGTCCCCCTAGTATGTCTTCGAACCTCTATTTGCATTGAACCCCGGAGTACGGTTGCCTTTGGA